TACCACTTTCACAAATATGAAAACTACTCACCATGGTTTCCAGTCTGGTGGTAAAGGTGCGTTAATTCCTTCCCTGGCAACCCACATCAGATGAGGCTCCTTTATAGGATCTATACCAATCACCTGCGCATACTCAATTATTTCTGTAAGAATGAAAAAAGGTACATCAGGACTAGACACTAAGGGAAGTCAGTCCTATAGCCCAGGACAAGTACTGGTAAAATTGCTATTCAGAAAAAACACTTGCTGTAACAGTCTACAGTAAGTATATAGCCAACATACACATTTTGGACAAGTGAGTTTTAAAGATAATGTCATACAGTAGGCCAACAAAATTGTGTTTATGGTGATCGGGTGTGTCAGCAAAATCATGAAACACCAACCATTTTTAATAAACCACTTTCCCGGAAATTAAAGAAATAGCATTTTTGCATGTATACACATATCGGATGTGGGGTGTAATGCAATAATTCAGTGGTAATATTGCACTTGTGGATATACATGTACCAATTAGTGTCAAAAAAATGGAATTTCTTTCTACTTAATATTAGTATACTGAAATGTTTGTATTTGCCACCAGGACAAAAAAAATGTATCTTTCTGCACCCCAGTCGCACTACTTCCGAGAAAGTGGTCTACTGAAACTTGATTAGAGTGAGCCCTCTATGGCAAAAATGACAGCAGTGTCTTAAAAGGTAAATATGTAAAATAAAATATCCTAAAAGTTCAAGTACAATATTATATCTAAAGTTAACACAATTCAGAACTAGGTGATATTAAATATAGTGAAATAAGGTGAAGGGTATGTTCATAGTAGTGGCAAAATGTCTGTCGTGCATCAAATTTTTGCAGTTAGAAACCTGCTTCTCACACATTTTATTTTACAAGTTTTGCATACGGATGAAGTGTGCCGCAAATAGTAAAATGCTGTGGTACTGAGTAATTTAATACAACAAACAACAAAAACTAAATACACATCATACATGTATTATGGTTGTGGGCACAAATCAGCAAAAAGTAAAATTGAGCAAATGTACCGGTACTTTTATAATCTATAATAAATCAGAGATATTTATCAACTAAATTTGCACTATTCTGTGAAAAATAATTCGAGTATTTTTTTTCGGATTGTCTGATTCAACAGCAAAATTATTTTTTTTTCCTTGTACAATGTACATGATAAAATAGGGAGATAATCAAAAGGATTTATATGTGAAGTAAATATACAGTTTATATACTCAATTAGAAATCACGGAACTCACCATCTTCGGTGGGTTGATAGTGTTCATCATAATCCTCTTCAAGGATCAACTGATCTCCCATCATCATCTTGACGGCTGTTTATAGTGCTTGGTTACGTTTACAGTAGAATAATATACCTATAAATACGAGAAAATGAATAATGTACACCAAAAAATCCATGGAATTTAGCATGGAGAAAAATTACTTGGGACTACAAATTTTGTAAAAAAATATTAAGGTGGGTCTAGGATAAGAACTACTACCCTACAGTTTGAATTGTTCTCTGTATATCATGCTACATGGTTTTTTTTGGACACATGCACATCTGTTCGTCTACCAGCATGTTAAATTAAAAAAAAAATATAATAATATATTTTTGTTTGCATACATATATTATTCAGTGAGAGCTTTGGCTTTGCACACTCGTACTTGTGCGGCTGTGCACCAGCAGGCTCAGGGAAGATTATTATTATAATCATTCATTTTGACTCACCAAATGTTTCAGTTCCACTCCCTCAGAATATGCAGAAATATCAATCAAGGTGTTGTAATGGTAAATTACCCTATCATCACTATATTTCATACATACTACACTGTCACTCGTCTCAACTTCTTTGCGAGGCCACTCACTATGGTAAGTTTAAATAATTGACACATCATCGGAATTCCCCCCTGCCAACTTTTATGCTACTCAGCAAAAACTGACAAACCCTGGAGGTGTAGTCAGATAGTACAATATGTTATTTTTATGATTTACTCTGTATGATGTTTCATGACCTTCCTCACAGTGATGTCAGAATTACCGGTATCTTCAGATCGGGTTTCAGCGATCAACAATACATCTGATGAAGTTATTGAAAGCTTCCCTTGATAAAAATACATTTTAATTTATTTGGGATTCTGGATATGGTACAGTACGGTCTGAGCGAAATTTTACATTTAGCTTGCTTAAAGGCAGCTTAGTTTGCTTTTAAAACTGACACATATCTAAATACTGTGAAATATTTCCATTCCCATGTTTTAGCTGGAATTAATTTTTGCTGAAAAAAATGTTTTGGATGTTTTGTATGGATTTTATTTTCACTGATATTTGATGAGATGAATGTAAAATATAGAAAAACAGGTATATTCGCTGGATTTTATTTCCACTAATCATTCCTCTATTAAAAATAGTGAGATAAATTCCATGCAAAAAATAAAATAATTTTACGGTAATACAGAATAATCTGTCGAAATATCCCTTATACAATGTACAAATGTATTACTAATATGGGTAACAAGTCTACAAAGATTGTGAAATTATTGATGATACATGTACATGCTTTAAAAATGTTTTAATGTTAACACATCAATGTAACTTAATTTTGAGCCTTGTTGTTAATTGAACTACTGTAAAATACTTTATTTTACAATGTAGCTGAAATGACATTTTGACTGTTTTGTGGGAAGTTTATTTTTACTGATTCCGGATGACTTTAGTGTAAAGCATAAGAAAAAAATTCCACTGATTCATTCCTTCAGTGTAAATATTAAACAAAAATAAATTCCAAGTGCAATTTATTTACATTTGTACAGTATTTCAAGCCTAGTACATGTAGCTGTAATACACAATGTCATTTAGGGTATGTGTTATTTGTGGTTATGCACACATGGTGTCATGTCAGGGCTGGTCAATGTTGTGGTCAGAATGAACTGACGTGTCAATGAGTGGTTTACACATAACATATTACCAGTGTGCCCTTTAAGCAGACACTTCACTGAAGATTGTTTATGACATACATATTGCTAATTACACTCATTCACTGACAGCGTACCAGTGACACAACAGAAAATCATACATTGATAGAGTGACCTTCATAGGCTTGGAATGAAATTTGTAATTTGGTAATATGAAATTCTCATTTTAAAGCAGGGGAGTCGTCCCTGCGTCAGATGGCCATAGCAAGTTATTGTTCACAAACAAGCGTCTACGCATGAGCCTTTGCATTTTTAGCGCGTGTTGTTATCGTCGCTTGGGACTCAATTCCCGCGTGTGCGAAGGTGACGACCCTCCCGCTTTAAACAAATTAAGTATGAAAATGAAATAAAATGACGTGTCATAACAGTTCAGTTTGTCCTTTTAGAAGCTCCCCACAACCATATACAATAATAATTTTAGTTGTTGAATATCTCTTCCTCAGTTTACATGTATCAACCTAACTCAACTTGATTTTTAGGATTCCATTATGACCCATGAAACCAACAAAATCAGTCTGGTACACTGCATATGATATTAGTTGTGTACATGTAACCGAAACAACTTTTTTCAAAACATGTTTCTAATATTGTTTGTGATTATAATTATATTAGACATGCATAGCCCATCACTCAAAATTCTCTAGCTTTCATATAATAATCAACATTCTAATCATCCTTATTAATCATCTTTCTAAAGCTTTGACTTTTAAACATTTGTTGAAATGCTTACTGAAATTATGAAATACAGTCTTTACCAGAATTGGTTTCCACTTTTCACAAATTTTGCGTGATTACATTTTGCAGTAATGACATTAATGTCACTGGAGTTTTTTTTTTTTTTTTAGACAATAAGTGACAGTGAAAATTTTGTCCTTCTATTTATTAAACTGTGCACAAATCTACTGCTGAAAATGATCACAGTGCTTAGGTGCTACAATTGTACAAAGGTTGGGAGCTTTGAATTCTACAGACCAATGTACTTTTAATCGAGGTGATTCTATTGATAAAGTTAATAAGACAAGGCCAAAAGGGAATACACATTCATTTCTGGTTTATAATTAGAAAACACTATCAAGGCAGAATCTGTCATGGCATGTAAGTCTTCATCAACTCTCATAATTAGATACTTTAAATTGCTTCAATTTTGCATTTTCGTGAATTTCACAAGGCAGTGAAAATCACAAAATATTGTAGCCGGAAACATTTTGCAGAGTAACAGTGATTTTTGCCAAATTTTGTATTCACAAATGCAATGATTAAATTATCATTAAATTGCCTAAATTTCTAGCAGCAAAAATTAGTTTAAGTGGGTATACATTACACCAATCAAATGTATTATAACTATGGAAAAATAAAATGAAACAAGGAATAAAATGTGAATATACACTTGTATACTAAAATTTTAGTACATTTTTAAGTTGTCATGAAACATTTGGTTAATGACCTAAACTATAGGAGACAGCTCAAATTTTATATAAGACATTGGGAAGGAAATGTGAATATATACTTGTTTATTAAAGCTCAGACTTTGAATTTATTACATTATTTTTATAAACAAACGATTTATCAAGCTACATGTATCTTTGATTGGAAGTCCATGGAATATATTAATTTAAGTAAATTCTATAATATTTATCATAGAGACATCAAAGGCAATAAGCCTAGACGCAGTTTACAATGGTGTCCTTCAAAAAGTACAGCATGTTATTTTACATGTATCTACATGCCTTGGCAATTTTATCAAATTACTGAATCTGGATGCCGTCTCAAATTCAAAGTTCAAACATTTCCAACTATTAAAGATTTCTCTGTGGTGCACACCTGATTCTTGTTTTATCCTGTATACATTCAGAATTCCCACATTCAAAGTTTTGTTTTTGAACTTTTACTTCAAGTAAAGTACCATCAAATACTACATATATTTTAGGTTACTAAGGTTCTCCACAGGGTATTACAGCATATACCCTTCCCTATTACAGCAGAAACCCTCCCCAACTACAGCATATACCCTACTCCCTATTTTAATCGATCACATTGATAGACATTTTTCCAGGGATGAACACTGTGTTATTCAGTAGTTGTGTTTAGCATACACCCTAAGCAGAATTTAATTTCATAGCAATGTGTGAAGGGAATTTTATTTGTCCAACCATGAGACATTTGGTTCAACCTAAATTACTGGAAACAACACAACTTTTACAAGACGTTTTCAGAATGTATATACATGTACCATTAAATATCCCACATCTGGATGCCTTGATGCCCTTCAAAATAATATTCATTTTTAAGTGTTCTGATAATAATGAAGTTCAAGATCTGCATTAGATTACAAAAGGACCCATTGCTTTATCGTAACCTAATTCAATGCTCATACACACTGTATACTGTACAGGTACTTTCCTGAATGACAATGTACTATACTAGGGGGTGGGGATAGAAACTGGAATAGCTTGATACAGCAAGAAGTACATGTTTATCACCCACTTCACCAGAGTAATGCAAAGAATAATCTGAAAGACCTTCTACACATCCGCATGTGTTCCAGGCAACTCATCAAGAAGTAACGGTTTGACTCACGAAGCATTTAACAATTTATTACAAGTTTTCAAGAAAAAAACAAACATGTAGTAATAATAAGTGCCGTATTATTACATTGAAGGCTAAACTATTATTAATCGTTTGAATGCCATTATTTTTTATGCCAAAACATATTCTCTTACATAAATAAAAGTGGTATAGTCAAAATAAGTCATATTTTAATGGTTCAGTATAGAATAAATGCAATTTTCAGTGTTTGTCTATCTACTATTTAAGAAGTGCTTCTAAAGAGCAAAAATGTATACATTTAACAATCTTGAGATATACATGTACAGAACAAACCAGTCAGCAACTTAGCTGGCAATATTTAGGTCGTTTTGCGGTTAGGAACAATATGGTGGTGACTAAATCACAACTTTTGGTTCTTTCCTTGAAGACTCAGTACTGTAATTACACACATTCATTTGTCCATTGACAAATTTGTCAAATGAATTTTGTGATTCAAAATTTTGTTTCAAAAAACTTTTCTGTTATATCATTATATGTATATCACAGTGGTAACCTGTGGTTGAAAGGCTTAATTTTCTGCATAACCAAAAACAAATAAAGCTCTCGAAACTATGACTTTCCAGTTTTCTAACTCTTTATACAAAGTACTGTAAAATGACTAATTTTCACTGGGTTTAATAAATTTCGCTGATTTACCATTTCAGGCATATTCAGTGGGTTTTAAATTCACAGTTTTATCATTTAGATATGCTAAATTTTACATATTCACTGGGTTTTAATTTAGCGCATTTTCCAGTCAGCGAAATAAGCAAATATTTTAAAACCCAGTGAATAATTAACCTCTAGATGAGATGATATTGGTTTACTATGTGAAACTTTCATCTGTGAAGAAATTCAGACAAACTCAATATAATATCTGTGAATAAGATCAGTGACTTAGATACCATAGATTTTATAGTATTTATGATTAGAAAAAAAAAAGTATTAATGTTTTTGGTCAATGCAAATCAGTTAAAAACTAAGGCAGCACAGATTTTATTAGGTTTTTATGTCGTGAATAAAAAATAAATAGCAAATTTTTATTTTATTAAATTAGCCTTGTTAAATTATTTTATTTATTCACTTTCTTTGATGTACTTTGATGACCAGAACATGACCGAAAGGAAATCTACTATAATCACTTGCAGTTGTGGTACTTTTTCTAAATCTCAAGTCTGCATATCATAAATTTAGATCAAAATTAAATAAAAATGCAGTTTTCATGAAAAATCGTAAATTTAATGATATTTTACAAGCAATAGTTGCCAGTGTGTGCCGATTTTAGAAATCAAATCGACCAGACGTATTTGGTGGTATTACTTCTGTCTGGATCGGATTTTCGTTTATTTTTTTAATTATTTTCCCGCCTGCAGAGATTATTTTCAGCTGACTCCAATTGACAGAGAGGCAGGTGATGATGTAAAAACTATATTTATTTCATAGATTGTTAAGCTTCAACAAATCCTGTGCTGCCAGTTTAATGCAAACCAATGTTACATGGATATTTCAACACTTCATCTAGTCACGAACTACTGTTGTGTTCAACCTCAGATGATAGACATGTACTGTCATGAAGACTGGGGACAATAGAAATGCGTTAACACAGCTGTATTTACGCTCACACTCGTTATGATCACTTATAATGTCGGTTGTAAGGCTCAAATCGGAATTAATCATATAAATTGCTGGTACAGATTTTGACGCTTTGATCGAAACGGAGCTATGAAAATAGAAGTTGTACGATCAAATAAGTCACCTGAATGACACGATTACAACGTAAAACGTGCACAAGAACCTCATAGATCATCGAACGGTGACTCCCATGTACGAGTGGACCGACCAGGATGCCAAGATATTGTTTTTATATCCTATTTCAATTGTAAACTAAAGTTATGAATGATTTGTAATAATTTAACGACCTCCTACTATTATTTTGCATTTTTTCCTACCGAATATGTGAACAATTTTGTAAGAATTCCGTTTAAACTTGTAGCTGGCAAAATCCCAAACTCTCTACAGCGCACTGGAATGCATGCACCAACACGGGCCAACGGGGAACCCAACGGTTAGAAGACGATCAGTTTGCTACAAAACACCGAGAATACCTAGATCTGTTATTTGAGTTAAATACACTTACCTCTAATGGGTTTATAGAACACTCTCGATGATTTCGCTGGAGTATCATGCATGAACTTACAAATATAATAACAAATGTTCACCTGCCGATCTTCTATTTACGTTCAACTATCCGCCATTTTGACAAGAATAACCCCGCTCTCACGCTATCTCGCGAGAGCTCGTACTGGCGCAGGTACGCTTTCCATCGTTACCTAGGGAACCTCTTTTGTTGCGCCTATGTCCTCTTATTTCGTTTTGAATGACTGTTTGGTCTATTCCGTTCCAGACGACGTTGCAATCCGTCTGAATAAAAATAAAATTAGATATTGGCATTGGCTGAAAAGTATATGTAACCCTGACTGATTAAAACACAGAATACGTACTCTACTTTTACTCTACTCTACTCATACTTCTTTCCTCTGGATGTGCTGGGATTCTGAACTCGTAAAATTATTTATTTTTTTGGTAGTCGTCGCACAGCACGTGTTTGAATTTCATGTAAACAAAAAAATGTATTTTACGCACGTTGTGCACGTCACCACGAGTCCAATATCGATGCGACGACTCCGTCTTTTAAATTGAATGAAATCGTTCAGTTTCATATAGTAATTTACTGATAAATGTTGCCTGTGTACTTGTTTTTTTTCATCTGATTTGAAAATACAATGTACAAGATGGTTATATTCCCTATTTTTTGCTCTTTTTCAGAACTTCAACATGTGTGTACAAGCATCAATAATGATATGCCAAGTTCTGCCCTGACATCTATCATTTTGCTTGTTTGTGAAATCCTAAAATTTACAAAATGATATATGAATCTGTTCTAATTTGGATTCATACTCAACTAGTTTTTAAATGAAAATTGTATTTGAAATTTCATTTTGCAATATTGTAATTTTAATAAATGTACCTCAAATTCTAGAATCTAGTGTCATTAGCTCTGATTGCAGACGTTATCACGTGACTCAAAGAACACGGTATATTGCCCCTGTAATAGCATAGGACAAACTACTGTATTTTTACAAATACGTTCGTACTCCCCTTTTATTTGTTCAAAGTACAGTTCCTTACACATTGTTTCATTATTTCTATTTTCATAAAAAACGAAATAATTGAAATTGAACGGGTCTTGGTAATAACTTCGTAATCCACGCAAGTGTCAGCAATACACCATTCCTGTAACTGGCGCCCTCTAGTGAGGGAGCGCCCTTGTGGCGTCAAATGTAAAATCTCCCAAACCATTATCTTTATAAATGCTATTTATAGTACTACTATAGATCAAAAACGATATCGACGTTTTGTGAACAGTACTGCAAGCATGTCACCCGCCACTAGAGGGCGCGATTGACAGGAGAGGTGTAGTGTGTATTTTCTAAGACTTTCATGAAATTTGTATCAATCAAATTTCCCGTCGCTGGCAAACTACCCACATCGGTAAAGCCATGGCATTCAAACTACAAATAATTCAGTGTGCATACTGGAATATAAGACTGATAATAACTGTAGACACAGAGACGGTGTAAATATGCAATCACGTGACTTCACCATTGTAGAATTATATCATAGAAACAAATTGAGGAGGGTCGATACTGATTTGATCGTCAGCGTGAAGTAGTACTGCCACTCCTGTGATTAATGCTAGTAGAGAAGGCTATGTTTGTATCTGGTCATTGCGCGTGGCACTGACAGTTTGAAGGATATGAGTAACCACTTGCTTGTATTTGCCAAAATATTTGAAGAAATAGACAAATATACGCATCCCATCACACCGCAGCACAGACCGGGTCAAAAACTAATATTTTTTTGGCTTAATATTTTTAAAATTATTTTTCACATATGTATGCTTTAGTAATTTAGTATCAAACATTGAGTTATGACGTCAGTACTTCGAGATGTAGACTATGTGCAGCTGCTCTCAAAGAACTCTCCATCCAAATCTCCAGCATGTAATTTCACTTTAATTTAATTTCACTGGAATGTAAGTTCACGAAATTGGCAAGAAAAGAAATTCACTTCTATTGTTATCCTACATGTTAGCATAGATTTAAGTTTATACTTAAAGGATTTTATTTATCAACAAAATTAGCGAAAATGAAAACCCGTGTATAAGTAATGCGATTACAGTGGGAATGGTTCTAATTTCAATTTGTACAGCGATGATGAAGACAACTAGACTCGACAGAACCGTACACTACCTCAATGTTGATGATCATGTTGATGTTGGGCGAACATTTATACTCCAAAATTCAGCAAATTATAAATTAATAACCCAAATATGATCGTATTCTCCTA